AACAAATAACTAAACGAGAATAATTAACTGGAAATCCACAACCACTGCACCCCACATCAAGCAATCACTTCAAAATCCCCACCAACGACAAACAAACGTGCAATTGAGGCTTAAAAACATTGTTCAAATATAATTTTGAAACTGAGTGCCTATGCTATATTTTTTGATACCCGAGGTTTTTTAATGTTAAAAAATTAGATGTCGCGCCTGCTAGGGCTCAGTAGCAAATGGTATTTGGAATTCGGAAGCGTGCTAGGAAACACTCCTTACCGCGGCTAGCATCTTAGGGATTTTCTTCTCCTCTGCCGACATTTTGCTTTCATCCAACGTCTTCAAGCCACAGTACTCGAACAGATTTTCCGACGCTCGCCTCAGATCTTCCTTTGCACTGCGAAATACTGTCAACCTGCCTTCCATGAGAGCCTGGAATAGTTTCTGCAGGTTAGAAAGCATTACAAGAAAAATAACATGATAAAGTAGTAAACTAACGACGTCCTCCTGCATTTTCTGCTCTATGGTATGAAGCTGTTCGTCAACTTTTGACAGCGCCTCTCGCAAACTTCTCAAAGCTAAACGAAGAAGCGATTCTTCCACGCAGATTTTACGCAGTTTCTCCTGAATGACGTGTATTTATAGACCTCATATTACGAGTTACAAAACTTATGCTGAATACCAATTTCTTCAGAATTTTCATGGCTGTTTCATGAACTTCTTTGCTCGCCAACGCTTTGGTTTCTTGAAGAGCTGCACGAGCTTGATCTATGTTAGGCCTGTTAGTTGATAACATCTCAAGCCTGAAATCAATAAAAAAAGCAGTGAAAGATAACAATGCAAAAGCACTAAATAGCAAATAGAAAACAATTTTTTAGAAAAAAGTTACGGAGCTATTAGGCTTGGAAGGGGTATTCTTGTTCTTGTAAGACTACATGTCAAAACATGGTGAGTCCTGTATACTCGTGTGAAGTGTAAACAAAGCTCTAGCTACTGCATAACTTTACAGGGGTTTCCAGGTATCCACACGTGGAATCGGAAGTGACCGACGGGGAGCAGCAAAGTGCCCCCACCAAGCCGAACTGCGTCTAGCCTCTAGTACAAAAAAGAGCACTTGTGACTCACTTGCTTTCTCGGTTGCTCAAGGATCGTTCAAGATTCGTCAAAGCATCCCTCTTGGTTCTCCATTCAGCCTAATTTTGAAAACAGGATTAGCGTGGATATTAGAGGAAAAAAAATAGAGCATTTGGAAAAGGATGGCTACTTCAGCCGCCAACAAAGTCACTAAGGAAACGTTCTTAAGTACCTGCTTCGCTTTCAGAGCCTCTCTTTCCTTCTGAGTGGCTGCTCTTTTTTCTCTCAATTGGCTCCGCCGATCGATCAGTTCTTTTTCCTAAACGGATTGTCGCTTGAAAATGCAAAAGGTTGCTGAATCGTCAAAGAGAGATCTATGCGAACAAAGTGGTCAATCCGTTCGTGAGATGCCACGCGTTCCGGTTGCAGTTCAAATAGTAGTAGCTTTCGAACGTCCTATACAATGACTTGCCGGGGCCAATCTATTTTATGCCCATTTTTCTAAACTCCCATATAAGTTTAGTATCAACTAAGTGGTTTCCGAGGGATGGAATGCTTGGTCGGCTAACCGGAAGCGGTCCGTGACTCGATCTCCTAAGCGCGGGTATGGCAAATGGCGCCACTTGCCGCTACAATACCTTTACCCGAAAAAATAAACAGCAATATAAAGTCTGCTCTAATGGAACAAATGGCAACACAATGTCTCGTATGGACTGATCTGGACAAAAATCATACTCGGGTTCGAAGCTGTTGTCGCTCCTCTTCAAATTTACTTTTGTCATCGGGTGAGGATGTGTGCGCTACAAAATACTGCGCTGGAGATCTCAATTCACTCTGCTGGCCGATAACTTCGTGAGATCCATATTTGGAAACAGTGAATTGCACCTGAAAATCAGATCATCTTCATCATGTTCATGAAGCTGCTCATCCAGTAGATAAATATAAGGGCCGGGTTCACAATTTTCGAAAATGGAAAGCCGCGATTCAGTCAAAGGGGCGGAAGGAAAGTGCAGGTTCTGACCTAGGCAACGCAGATTCTGGCAGATTAAAAGATTTGAGGCCACTTACTCCGAACCGACGGCATATAACCGCAATAATACCGTAAAATAGCAGCGTCAAAAAGACCACCACGAATTCCTCCATCCGGTACCATCCAATTCACAATTTATGCACCCCCTAACGAATCCTAATGTTCCAAAATATATCCCTAAACCCAACTATTTCCGTCATACGGGTTTTAGCACAAGCCTAAAACAGTAGGAAACGACTGTCAAAAGAATTTATGCGCTCGGTGGCGGCACCCATTGGAGGAGACGGACAAGACAATCGCACCGTGTCGCGCTGGCCGCGCGCGACGTATCGTGCGGCCTTGCGCGGCAAATTGCGATCTGCGCCATTTGCAGCTAGAAGCAGAAAAACTCATATAATTCAAGCAACGACAAGACTTTGAATACCTGTAAGTTTCTGTGACCAAAGTCGCTCGCTCTTACTTCTTCGCAGGCTTAACAAAACTTCTACAAGTATTACCAGAAGAGCGTTTCTAATTAATATGATCTAGGCAAAATGATCAGTGAAGGGCAAGATGTCTCTTCCAAGCCGAACAGCGTCAAAATGTATCGGAGATATGTACAAACTGCCCCTTTCTAGCAGCCCATTACCATCCTCTGCTATGTTTTAGGTAAACACGGCACCTCATCTTTTGCAGCTGATTTTTCCAAATCGCAAGATCCACACACGCAAGTATTGAATGAAAAAAAGTAGCACAGTTAGTGAACAGCGAGAAAAGACGACCAACCCTGTACCTATCCGTTAGATACAACTTATACGGGGTGTTCGCAAAGGCAGATTTTATTTCATCATAGTATTCATTCGATCTTGCCGATCCGATCGGTACTTGATGCAGCTGAAAAAAGGATCTTAGAAATCTCGATAAACGTTCCGAAAACAATAACTAAAGAAATTACCCGAGCAACGCTGCACATGTAATGCTTAACGACATCGGGTGAAGTGAACAAATCGGCAGCAAAACGCGTAAAACCAAATCCCTTCATTTCTTGGGTAACAGTCGAGGAAAGTGACGATAAATTCACCTGAAAACGACAAATGTGAATCCTGTTTGGTCACCCCATTGATTAGGTCAAAGCAGAGTGCAAAATATCAAGGTGCCGAATTTTCGCATGGCAAGCTGACTGAATAAGCTAACCAATGAACAACTATACCTGCGAAGGAGCAACAACCGTCGAATTAAGCTTCCAGTTGTGTCTACGGTCAGTCAGAAGCGCCTCATCTTCCTTACAACCAAAGATGAACATCGGCAAATCTCGCAGAGCTATCAGATTCTCGAGTAACATTGCCGATTTCGCATCGGGTACCGTCATCTACAACAAGCGACGTCCTTTCTCAAAAAAAAAATCAAAATTCAAGCAAAGAAATTGTAAGAAAGTAACACATGTGAACGTACATGAAGAATTGGTACGTATACTGGATGCCGAAATCTATCGCGATTCGCTTGATACCATCGCCATGCCTCATCAGCCATATTGCTGCGCATATTCTCAAGAATACGAACACGACTCTCCATAATCTGTTCAATGCGCTTCTCCTCATCACGCAACTCTAAAATGAGCAGCTTTCATTATCATCAACTGGACTCCGGCATGTAAGTGGGGCGGGGAAACCATGGAAAGAGGGTCAAAGGAATGGGAAGGTGCGGAAAAAATGATGGGACTTTATATGGATGAGAGCTTTAAATGACACTACCGGCCTGGTAGCTTTCTTACTGCGTCAGAAAAGTAGAAAATGAGAGGATCAGGTCATCGTCTACCGCTATGTAAAGAAGAGGCAGACGAAAGAAGAAGAGTGGGCGATCCAGAAAACCGAACAGAGTATGTCAGTAGAGCGTAGAACGTGGTGATACAAGAGGAGAAGACTAACTTAAGAGCACCCCATTACATGCTTGCAGCATTAGATACGTAAAAGCTGCTGTTGCTGGCAGTAAGCACCACGTTGGAGCATGAGCGTCCGCTACAGCTCCGCTGATGCCTGGTTAGGCGGCGTTCATACTATTCGTCGGTGTTTCAAGTATGAACGCCAAGGAAAGGACAAAGAAAGTATGGGTATCGATCTAGCTTTTTGGGATGAACGCCAATGATCTGAGCCCTTAGGGAGAGCGCAAGTTAAGCGAAAGGGAAGTATAGGTAAAGAGCTAGCGTCCAGAGCTGGCATTTACTCAAAACATTGGCCTTTGTCCATCGATACTCATACTTCCCTTTCGCCCAACGCGCTTAAAAGTCTACGGAAAGTATGAACGCAGCTCTTCCTAGCCAAATAGCAATAACTTAGCCCTTAACCATTACATGCTCTCATTCAGTGACAGGAGAAGAAGGAGGAACTGAGTGTAGAAGACTAAAGATAGGGAAAACAGCTGCGCAGCAAGGGACCCACCAGACGGAAAATCTTATTTCAAGATTTTTCGTTTGCAAAGCTCGACAAATTTCACCTGTACTTATATAAAAATATCAACAAGGTAAGAAAAGAGAAGAGTAAAGTGAGAAACTCACTCATTTTTTCCGCGGATAATTTCCTCTCATCAGCCTGCAATTCGTCTTCCATTTTGCATAAGTTCTCCTCTTCTTCGGCATATTGCTCTGTTTTCTGTGCCGTTTCTCTTTTGAACTCCTGAAACATTACGGTGAATAATAAGGAACGGCGTTGTTCTACTTTGGAGGAGAGGGGGGGGGGGCATTCGTAAATTCCTTTTGCTATGTTAATAAAGCAGATCTCACTTTGGTGAAACCGGCAATTTCTTGTTGATCTGCAGAGGGGGTGCATATGACCCACTTTGGTCGGAGGATTTCACAGGTTCTCACAAGATGACCTGTACATGCGCCCCACCTAGTCGCATTCTCGCCCAAAACACGATGATTTTTGCAATAGGGAAAAAAGTAAAGGAAAGTGAAAACACCTGATATCCTTTCATTTCTTCCTTCGCAGCAGAAACATTCTCGCGCACACGATCAACCTGCTTCCGTAACGAGTCCATTTCTTGCTCCCAGTTGTCATTCTGTTTCTTTAGGTGATTGAATCGCTCGCTAGCCGCGAGGACCTGAATTGCTAAGGGAATAAAAAAACATGAAGGATGCATTACAGCTCGCTCATACTTCGTGACAATGGAAAATTGAAAAATTGTGGGCTTGAGAGAATCGGAGAATCCACGGAAAAAAAGAAGTTGAGGAGAGGGAATTGCTAGGCATCGAATCCCTCCCACTGACTCTTCTGATCCGGATTCTCTGAAATCCACGGTTCCCTCATTTTCATTGTCGCAAGGTATGAGCATGGCCTTGGTCATGGCCAAAACCCGAAACGCACCTTATCGGAGTATAAATTTCTGTTCGTAAGCGTATCGACGTCGTCGGTTAGGACTCGTATTTGATGCAGCTAAATAGTAATAAGATACTGAACACATTTCGGCGATGAAAACAGTAGAACCCACTATTTCATTCTGACTCGTTGAATACTCCTTTTCCTGCTTTCCCTCCTTTTCTATTTTCGCCCGCAATTTTTGCATCTGGAACATGGTATTTTCAACAAAAAATATGGTGAGCCCTAGGGTCCACTTCATATCACAGAGGTGGTCGAGGCGTGGCTACGAATTCCATTTGGATGAGGCGTGGACGGATGAGGTATTGCCGTTTTGGGACAAATATAATCATCTCTTACAATGTTTTCCATTGTTACACTGTTAGTCCCGCACAAGTCAAGATGACTGAGAATAAATCCTCTCGAATGAAACGATTCCACGAACAGGACTCGTCGTAGGTTTGGGATCTCCAGCAAGGGTGCCATATTTGGTCGCTGGGGGCGTCGTATTTTTCTTGAAGGGAAACGTTTCCGCTTCTATTTTCCCGTTTTTTTTTGTTTCGAGCCTTGCTCCCTACTCGCTGGCAGCTTTT